TACGCGAGTACATGCCTAAATTATTTAAGTTAATTTATTTGTTTTAGTTATTACGATATAATTAATAAATTAACAAATAAATAAATGTCACTTTTTGACTGATGACAAGTAGCCCAGGGAAAGTAAAACACTGCCGCTTAGCATGAAATGTCTACTGAAAGTGAAGAGTTAAGCAAGGCAGTAACAGTATCAGCATTCAACCAACATAGCTGAGCCCTCCACATGGAGGCGGGACGCACCACGGCAGGTGGCGCTTGGGGTTGGGCTCGGCTACGCGGGAGATGAGTAGTCTCTTCGAGGCGATGCTCTCTGCTCTCGTCGATACTCGCTTCCTTGGAGGCCGCCGCCCTTCTGTTGTAGACATAGCTCCCATTCCCCTACATCCTTTTTTCGTAAACTTTTGTCACACTAACTGCGGATTTTGAAATGGTGTCGGTAAGAGATTCTGGTCCAGAACTATTCGCCCACCTTATGTTGGCTGACGACTGCATTTGTAAACGTAGCGCTTGTGATGGGTACTAAGAGAGTGAGAAAATTTTTCCGCCATCAGTAAATGAAGATTTAATGTTCCCTGGAAGTTTCCTACGAACTCGCCTTTTGCAGTGATATAAATACTTTTTTCAATTCGTCCAATTTAATTCAAAGGCACTTCTTGCCAGATACCTTCCCCATGTCTTCACCATACAATGGGAAGAGTTTGTTGATTTTGCTTGCACCAGGGTAGCACGCCGTACTTTCCTCGCCTTACGGGGCCATTCAGAGCGACTAGATCGACAATACCCATTTGTCAGGAGGTTCAGGGATTCTAGTTGCTTTATCTCTTTAATCGAGACGGAAATCTGCCTTCATGCTAATCGGCCATTTTTGATAATCCGTCCCGACATAGTAACCTTCCGTTTTCGTTTTTTCAGCAGTCTTTGAAAAGATGGACCAAACATGAATAATGATAATTGTTAGATGATTGCCTGACTTGACCAGCAGTGTTGCAATAACGGCAAGTTCATCTCAATTCCAAAAAAGAATTACAGAGACTTTTCATCTTCTCCAACGCATCCATCATAAGATGGAAAGGCTACGTAACTTTCTGGTCTTATGATTACCTTCAAAGACAAAGGTCCTGATTAGTATGGGATATGGCGTTTGAAACTGAGTGTGGAGAACTGAATGGAACGACAGTGGAGAAAAAACGAAAGAAACCGTCGACAAGACCGAAAACGAAACCCCTTTCCCTTCTAGCAGTGAAGGAGGCTTGCTTGGGGAGAGGCACGTCCAAACGAGTTTTCCGGACATGCCGGCCATTGCTGGCTCTGTGCCATCGGTTGATACGGCAATCAACCCAGCTGATTTCACACGTTGCCAGCCACGCACCACTTCCGGAAGTGGGCGGGCATAGCGCCTGCCAGGCGGCTATAGCGAACAAGTGCATCACCTGGGGCTTTATTGACCGCGCCAGTTTGGGATTTTGAGCGCAGCAACGTCTTTAAGGGTGCATCAGAAATGATGAAATTGATTGGTTTGAACCCTGATCCTGACCTTCGCCTTTGAGTTCTATTAAGTGATTTAGCCAATTAATATGATGTCCTTGAATGAATCGTTCTTGTCAGGTGGAGTCGGTCCATGTCGTAGATCGCGTATCCCACGTTTATTCAGGGTTGTTGCCAGTTGAAAGTGCGCCTGCAGCGCCCCTGATCTGTGATCGTTGACGGCGTTCTTGAATCCGGATTCTTTTGCACCTAAGTGTGTCGTAATTCTAAGAATTGGCGCCTACATAACGGTTCTACTAATGGTCATCCTGTCTGCGTAGGGTCCAGATCCCGAAGGTAGACACTAGGACTGCTGAACTTGTGCAGGATTTGCTTCAATTACTTGAGAGCTCTCCGATGTTCTTAAGTAACTGTCATACAGCTCGATTCTTTCTATTCAGATGTATAACTTACTTGCTCACTACATCACTTACTCGAACACCTATAGTTATTTGGAACATTAGGAAACGGTCACTTCGTTGAGCGTGAAAGGGAATCAGAAACCCTTCCATCTTGCACGATTCTTCCTTCCGTCGAGCAGAATTTCATTTGCGATGCAATTTTCTCTTTTGTGTTGCCTTCTGGTTTGATCCTCCGACAGTATGATAGGCGCGGTGACCCTCACAAAGGAGGTCAAAGGGTGTATATGGCTTTTTCAAAACAGTTTTTTGTTTGCTGTAGGGATCCCATGTAGACCACAGGGTACCCAACAGGAGGCCTGTCGCTCGGTGGGGTGGCTGAGGTGCAGACGTGTCACCGAACGAGTCGCAGTGCGATACGAGATATAGTATGGTACTCTTATATGACCTGACGCTAAATCGTGCAGTGCGTGCTGCGACTCGCCCAGTGTCCCTTCCGCGTTTCCGCCATCTCGCCGCGCGACGGGCCTCCTGTCAGGTACCTTGGACAACAAAGCTAAGGTCCGTTTCCGCTGAGCGGCTCATAAAGAAGGATAAAAATACACTTGCAGTACGCCATTGTACCAATTGGAATGATGTATAGAACCTCTAGCGAGAGTACCGTCTATGGTTATGAGATGAGGCACTGGAAAGTGGAAATCAGACCTGGAGGAATGTGGAGCTCGACCTAGCATGCCAGAAATTTTGTCATTGCGGAAAATTGAACCTTGGACAAGTTCTTCCACACTTTTGTGTCCTTTCTTAACAGCACAGAAAATAATAGACCCACCTCATTTCAGAACGACTCCAGCTGTATTACATGGCTTTCGGTCTAGAAATCGAGTTACAAAGCTTCATCACCAGTTGGTTTGAAATCCTCTTGGGAGAAAAATTCTCATAAAATCCTTCTACAAAAGAAATATTCAGTGATTGCGCATTAGGTCGTAAAAAAACGGTCACGGTCTTTTATACACTGCGTTTCATAATTATAGGTCCACCCTAAATTTTTGCTACCCCGATGTTGCTGAGCATTTTTTGAAAATTGCTGCTATCACCATTAGATTCCTCATCACGGAAAACCTTCATAGTGTTTTTCTGACAAAGTTCCCCTCAAGTAACCCAATTAACTTTTTTAGAACGAATTTTCACCGTTTCATGAATATCGGGCCACTCATAAAAAGTTTCCATTTCTCACGATCCGTGAAGGGGAAACAGGGAAGCGGATATATGTGAGCTTAGTCGACATCGGTTGACCATACTCGCGGACTCGACCGGCTTTCCCCCGTAAAAGGCCGAGAACTTGTGAAGTGAGGCTGAGAGAGAACTGCGTCCCATACCGGCCGGCTCATAGTGCATAAGCAACTGAGTGCAATCCTGGTCAGTGGGGGAGAAAAGTAGCTTTGGTAAATGAATACTGCGTTTTCTTCAAGATTGAGGAGGAATTAGGCGTCTTCTTTCGAATTGTACAAGGAGTCGCAAAGTCCGTGCTGAAATGCGGCCTTCCGTGAGCAAAACCACTACGTGGTGAGTGAGCCAGCAGAGTAATAACATCTTCAGGGATTGATGAAGCGCGTTCCAAGATTATTTGAGCGCTACAAGATCGCACGTCTCCATTTCTCCGTGGAAAAGGGCTCAACTTAATGAACGAAGGTGTGGCTGTTAAGACCCTTCGCGATCTTGGACTCTTCCTCCTTGTTTCATGCTACAGGTGATCTGAGATCGACGTGAAAAAGTTTATTCTAGGTGGATCTGATAGAAAAAGAGGGTACAGGAGGGTTCCGTGAAATCGCAGATGGTTTTGAAGTAAGGTAATTTTGGCGGAGAATCCCTTATGGTTTAGGCACCTTTGAACGACTGAGCGGCTAGAGCTCATATTTGTTTCCTTTCACAAGGATTCTATAGGGTATCGTGAAGTTCTTTTGAAGCGATTTTTACCATTTTTTCGACAACAGTCCCCTCGAACCTTGATTTTTACGCACGATAACGCGGCTGTCCATGCCCGTCCTTCCACGCCAGATGGAAGTGCAGGAAAAATGTGGCAGTTATCTGGTGGACCACCATGCCATCTGAATCAGATTCCAATAGAGAATCATAAAGCCCTAAATGTTATAAAGTTTAACAGCAAAGAAAAGCAAAATGGAACAGCCGAAGAGCTGAAAACGTCGATCATCGGCGCACAGACAAATTTCCATCCTAATGTATTAGCTAATTTGGTTACCAGCATTCCAAAACGTATTATTGTGTTCCTTTGATTGATTATGGGGGAGTCATCCCATTATTGAAAATTCGTGACGTTTTTTCGTTATAGTAAAATCTCTCGACAAGTGATGTGTAGTCATATTTGCGAAACGGTGAAAATACGTTCTAAGGAAGATATTTTAATAATTCTGAATCGAGATTTCTCCAGAAATCGAGTATCAAGGTTTTTCGTTATGGGGAAACTATTGGTAATAGCGGCATTTCCCAAAAATGCACAGCAACTTTGGAATAGCAAAAAATTTAGGGTGGACCTATAATTATGAAACGCAGTGTATTGTGGATTTATGTGATTTTACTTAACCCAGTTGGACCAGTATGAATTTGAGTGATTTTGGTCTCGCTGAGCCTGCTAAAAACTGCCGGACAGAGTACGACGCATCCACGTTCCTTGTTCATGTTCGTCGAGATCTGATAAAGTAACCCTCCCGTTAGGACGGTTTATTTGATATTCTACTTATTATCTATAAACCCAAAACGTCCACTATACAAAAATCCCACAAGAATCTCCTCCGCTGTGACACTCCTTTTGTTCCTTCAAAACTCGTAATCAAGACTTTACTGTACGAGCCAGCAGAGCGCAACACGTGGCCGCCTTTTAACCTTTGTTACAAATTGAACTTACGTCGCAGGGCTGTTTCGCGCGCCCCAAATGTTCGCAGTTGTTTTTTGGAGACTATCACATTCGTGTTTGCTGAAAATTTCGTTCTCGCAACGACGACATTCCATTGAGTCCATCTGATTCGTCCGTTAGCAACAGACGACCCCTGGCGCCATCAGCCAGCCAGCTATTGTTCGCGGCCAATGCATTTTCCTGATATCGATGAACCTTGACGTCGCTCATGAGCATGAATATGTTGTGTTCACTCCTATGATTAAAGTATTTCATTCCAGGTAATGATTCTTCTGTTCTACGCCTTATTCGTACAGGAGGTTCTGTCATGGCCTGACGGTGCTCCGTGCCTTCATGCAGCGTACGAAAGCATGAATCCTCTCGAGGCGGTAGAACATCAAGGCGGCCTACAGGTAAGGCTTTTGTGACAACAGCCTGAAAGCTTATTCGGAATGTTTTCTAGTGATTTGGTCACTTCGATATCAGATTATTATGCATCGCGGGTAGTGCTGGTAAGGAGGTAGTATAGAATAGAACAGCGGCAACACAAGGTCACTAGGCCGAATTCACTTTATTTGAATGCAGCCAGCGATCACGTTGCTACAGGTGCCTCAGAGTTCCAAGCACCCTCCCCAACCCCTGAAACACCGTTCGCAGCGAAGAATTGCCTGACGTCCACAATTAATTGTGTTCACTTTTCGATAACCCTTCTTCCATCAATTCATCGATCTTGACAGTGAATTAATCAAAACTACAACAGGTCAACGGTGACACCTTTCTCAAACGGGAACTTCGAGAAATTCGCTCTTGGCGCAACCGGGATCATTCGTGGCTGCATGGGTTTTGAAAGCAAAGCAAATAAAAGAACTTGACCTCTGAAAAAGGACATACCAGCTTCAGTCAGGGAGCACTTGTGGCATGTGCTTTGAAGACTGATGGCGAAAATTTTGCCGCCATTGGCAATAAGGTAAAGGTAAAGGTAGTTGAGGCCGTGGAAAAAATAAGGGAAAGCATCCTGAAGGCGTATTCCGTTATTATCATGATGTCGGAAAAGTAGGTGGCCATTTCGCCGGTTTGTCCAAATTTATTTTTTTTCTTTTGCAAAGTCAATAATAGCAATTACATGCTTCGTTATGTTAGCAAGTTGTTAGCAATTACATGCCATTGTTGTCTACGTAATGTCACTCACAAGAAAACTTGTGGATGCCGTTCGACTGGAATTTCTGAGCTTTTGAGGCGAAAAACTGGAAGACGTCCTTCTCGAGTAGGTCCGTTTCATCTAACTCCCTCTATTGTAATTGGTTCGACGGCAACAGAGGCAGATAGTAGTCGGTTGGATCCAGGTTTGCTTAACACACCAGGCGGCTCTTAATTTCCCATCAAGAGCTTGGAGGGTTTTGTTATACCTTCTCCCTACTTAGTGGATGACTGTTGCCGAGGTAAAGAGTAAATTTTGTCATGCTTTTCGAGTACATGCCATTTGGTGCTCTTCATCGGAGCTGCGCACACTGATCAGTACCCTACGATACGACTTGTCCAGGAGAGCTCGCTTTGACTTCTAACGCTTTGCTAACAGAACAAAAATTGTGAAGTTCCTATTTGTGCACAACTTCCACCATGAAGCGGGCGCTAGGTACAGCTAACGCGTTCTTCATAGAGGCACAAAAGAAAAGTTGGCGCTCTCTGTGCAATAGTTTTAGTTCATTCATATTCGCTGGGCTTTCTGCCGTTTACTCTTGTTATTTCGTTCTCACTTTCCACGGCGAATTGAAGGCAAAGATCGCGAGCACTGAAGAGTGGTGTGGTTTTGATAGTCATTGGTCGCATTTGTTTAAGGGCCATAAGAGGCAGCCAACCACACCCCTCAACAAGTGAACGGTCTATTCCACCAATGATGTCATCAAAACCGCACCGCGCTTCTGCCATCGAGATCACAGTCTTTAAGTACCATTTTCTGCTGAAATGTCAGTAGTTGTATAATTCTGTTCCTCTGCTCCCATCTACCATAGCCTGATCCTATCGCTTGAATCGTTATGAACTGTGTTCTTATCATGCCTGCGCTCCACAACAGGGTTTTGCCTTACACAGTATGACTCAGGGTCAACCGTGCGTTCGCACTATTCGAACGAGGGGGTCGCATTTGTGGTTGATTTTGGGAAGGGGGTCGCATTCAGGGGTTGAGTGGGATTAGTAATTGGTTGGGTGAATGGCGAGGCGATTTAGATTGGTTAGATTGGTTTTTGAGGGATTTGGTGGATGTAATTGGCGTGCGTAGGATAGGTGAAAGGAGAGAAAATTTACGGATTCATTGCGCTAATAAACCTCCCGCTAGACGCCTTGGTGAAGGAAAGTCGGCGCAGTTGTTACTGTAGGAACAGCCATGCTGGGAAGGATGGTCGGATTAGGGGAGTCTCCTGAGTCTCATGGTGGTGGTGGGGAGGGTCGCGAAATTTCTGAAAAAGTGCGAACGTCAAGGTTGACCCTGAGTATGACCCAACCGATGGTCTGGTCTCTGTGTTTATTGGTATCGTCTGAAGAACGGCTTTTCAATGAAACAAGTCCGTAAAACGAAGTGATTTGAAATTCAGAAAAACAGGACCAGACCGACTTCAGAACTCAAAATTGATATTTTCGTTTCAGTTAACTCCGCCACCGTACGAGATTAAAGTAGATCAGAAGTGCTACTGGAGGAACCAGCCTGTTACCTGTGAGTTTCCATCGAGCTAAATGATAACATTGGTCTCAGGCGTAATCTTCTCAAGGCACACTAAAATCCTCTTGTGTTCTATATACAAACACGAATTGGTCGAATAACGCAATCTGCTTCACTTTTTTTCAGTGCATCTTCAAGGGCTAAATGATACTGTTTGGTACAAAGGCTTCGTTATCCAACCTTTTGAATGGAACAATGGTCAACTCGGACAAAGGTATGCCTTAGGATTGCATCGACAGCAAGAGACACGTCCCCTGGGGGAAGTATTTGCCTGTGCGCCCATTTGCCAATGTGGTTATGCCATAAGACCGTTTCCTCGTGGTATGCCTTGAAAGCTCGCTCCTGCCCACGGTAGCTGTCTCTTTCAAGTCGCAACGCAATTTCCCAGCGCACGACCTTTTGTGGTACGATTTTTTACCCCGCTCACCCATCCCTCTCATCCCTTACAATTCACCTGGGTTGTTGAAGAGATAAGCTTCTAGGACCTGTGTACGTCCTTTATGGCTCGCCACAAATTTGAATGTGTGTAACCCTTCAAAACAGGATCGTACCATACTTGACCCTTATATTACGACTTTTTTCCAAAATAAAGCTATTAATGGATTTTGTGTGGTACCTCGGATTTTAATGACTAATAATCATGTAGTCCAGAATTTTGGCTAACGAACGCGGGATTGGACCAAGGGTTTCATCCACTTACTAAGTAAGTGGTAGCGGCTCCTTTTTTCACCGTACCATGTACCCCCAAACCAGAAGTACTGGGATAGCATGAGCAAGTCATTGTTGAAATACCTCTTTTCGTTGGTGAAGCAAAGCCAGTGTTGGGTCACGCTTGGCAAGAATCTTGAGCCACTCTCTGAGGAGACCATTCAAGTCCCACTGGCCCGATTAGATTCGCCAAAACTGTCGTAAAACTCCGCGTCGTCCATCCCCTCGTAAAATATACAGTAACCCAACA